TTCTGTCCATTGTAGTGGTTATGTCAAGCCAATCTCAACGTGCTCCTCTCCAAAATCAGGTAAATTTTCAGAAACTATAAAATCATTCCTTTTAGTTTGTTATTCAGTGCTCAGAAAAATCAAAGTAATATTTGTAGTTGAGACCTTTCAAGTGAAATCTGAGAAGATGTGAAAGTTGTGTACAGAGTCTGCTTTATTGAAGGTCAATGAATCGACGACATCTGAGATAAACGGAACGAGCTCTAATTTCCTCAATTCTCCAGCAGACCCTGGTGGATTCAACAATGCAAAGACATGGTTTACTTATCAAGAACTAGTTGAGGCCACTAATGACTTCTCAGCGAAAAATGAATTAGGGAAGGGTGGATTTGGTTCTGTATACAAAGGCTATCTAGCAGATGGAAGATATGTCGCGGTAAAGCAGCTAAATATTGGTGGGAGCCAGGGCGAACGGGAATTTAGAGCTGAAGTTGAAATCATTAGCCGGATACACCATCGTCATTTGGTTTCACTTGTAGGTTATTGCATTTCAGAGAACAAAAGGCTCCTCGTTTATGACTATGTCTCCAATAATACCCTTTACTTCCATCTTCATGGTAAGCATAACATTTTTAGATTTAATTATTTCATTTGTTATGTTTTGTCACTAAAGCTAGCTGTTGATTCTTGCAAGTTACAGCACAAGGGAGGCCTGTCATGAATTGGCCAACACGTGTTAAAATTGCTGTTGGCGCAGCTCGTGGAATAGCTTATCTGCATGAAGATTGTAATACTGTTCTCTTCCTCAATTCTTATGAGTTATCCATGTTTTATTCACTTGATATCTTTCATTGGTTGAACAACCCTCCTGCTTATACTTAAAAGAGAAATGTACAGTTAAAACCTTTACCACAACTTGGAATTAATTTTAATGATCCCTAAAGCTGTGGCAGGATCGTGGATGGCAATCTAAGCTCCACAACCACCTTCTTTCTACTCTTCCTAAAAGCATACATTAACGAAAGGAAAATAAAAAAGAGAGAGAAAACAAAACATGTAGTAATAATTTTCAGTAATTATATTAGAAGGCCTTTTTGTAATGTAATGAAATTACTTATGCAGTTTAGAATTGGATTCTAAGGTCCTTTTTCATGCCATAAATTACCTCGTTATATAATATTTTGGCATGACAGTGGATTATCATATCTGCATTAAGATTGCAATTAGTGTTCTGTTCCTTAATCCTTTTATCTTATCAATGTTTATATTTATTTCAGTTCGTTTGTATGGCTGAAAAAAAATGTCTCCTCTTTCCTGCCCCAAAAATTAGAGAGAAAGCAGGATGTAAATTCTTTTACCATATGACGAATCGGATTGTGATATGAGATTGTGTGTTCTTATCGTATCACTTGCATTTTTTTTATTGATCCCTACTCCACTAGCTGAACAGCTGTGGTCAATTAAATGATGCAATCTGAGCTACTTCCAGAACCAACTTTCTCCATTTATCCCTAAAAGAGGACTTGAAGTAAAAAGAAAAAATGGAACGTATAAGTAGTTTAGCTCAATGGAGGTAGCAAGATCTTGGTATTGGATTTCCCTTTGGTAATGTTATAATATAACTTCCGCAATTTAGAATTGTATCTTCAGTTTTAATGCATCTCATAAATTATCTCGATTATATGACCTTTTGGCAGTGTAAATAATGAATTCTAACCACCTTCTCTGATTAGTAACTTAAAAGATGTTTTTGTAGCTGAATGTACCAAATGAGGCTCAAAATTGAACTAAGACTGAACAAAACATGATTGGTTTCATTGAGAGAACAGGAAAAATTGTATGACTCAGTTCTTTATACACTCCTGTATTGCACTGCACCATTTAGTTACATTCCCGAGAAAGGAATATTTTAATCCACGAGCAGACATAGTCTCGTTGAACATGAGTATATCTTCTACACTGAAGTGAGCACATCAGCCTCTGCATTTGTAGTGCATTATATGCTTTTAGATTGCCAATATTCACTCTACGACAAGCATTGAATAAATCTTCCCTGATCGAGCCAGGTTGTAAAGTGAGAGAAACCTGTTCAACTGCTCTTGTGAAGCATATATTTTAAAGCAAGTGACAAACTGGTTTCTCCATATAACAAAGCTGAATGTGTTAATCATCACTGACTTATTATGTGTTACTGTTGAATAAGTAGTGAAATGTTAAGAAAAGTAGACCAGGCGAAGCGATTGTGATTTTCTATGCTCATTTCCTTCATTCTTGTTACTTGAGCTACCTTTCATTATATAGTTAAAGTATGATGCTCCTTTTTTTGGTTCTTAATTAATTCTTTTGGTGTGGATGACAGGTTATCCTCGTATTATTCACAGGGACATTAAGTCATCAAACATTCTTTTAGATGACAACTTTGAGGCCCATGTATGTCTTAGTCTTCGAACTCCTATATCCACATTCTTCGTCTCGCGAGCCGCCTTTTACAATTAGTTTACTTTCTACAGGTTGCTGATTTTGGACTAGCTAAATTAGCTCAGGATGCAGAAAGTCATATCACAACACGTGTCGTGGGAACATTTGGGTATGTTTCAGTGCCAACTTTTATATTAAGTTGACAGCATAAGATAAATATTTTATTGCATATTTTTCAATTTCACATATTTATTCTAATTCCTTAGATCTGACTCAGATACATGGCTCCTGAATATGCATCAACTGGCAAGCTGACCGAGAAATCTGATGTATATTCCTTTGGCGTGGTGCTTCTGGAGCTAATTACTGGAAGGAAGTCAGTGGATACATCTCAGCCTTCTGGGCAAGAGAATCTAGTTGAGTGGGTATGTTTGTAGCCAATCTATTATTTGTTTTTCTCGAAATCCATATTTTCGTCAGGTCTCCTTTATTACCTCTTTGTTAGAAATTTTGACATTAATATCCGACCTAAGGCAATGAAAGTGCATATCAGCGTGCAGAGAGAACTTAAATTTTTAGTCCCTTATTCTAGGATAACCTACAAAATTTCAGTTGAGTCAGGATTTGGTTGTTCCTCCGTCTTTTCCCATACTGCACAAGAACTTGGTAGCTGATATTCGAAGAAACCGCCATTTTTCTACTCTACAGTAGGCCTCTAGTTGGTCTGCTAGTGAAGTTCCTCTTCTTTATTTTTCCCTTTTTTATCATGAAATGATGCCTTATCATGGTAAGAATGATTTCGGAATGCTGTAAGCCTAAAAAATTTATCCGCTTTAATTCCCATTGATCCTTTATAATGTTAGAAAACTGAAAAACCATTACAGTAGCACTGAAAACTTTTATCTTTATCATGCTGAATGTGTGTATTCCCTGTGGTTATTTTATTCTCAAACTCCCTCCGTTTTCTTGTCGTCAGTGCCTAGCTAGTAGCAATAGCCATTTTACAAAGCTTTCAGTACCTTAAAAACATTATGACTTTCTTCGCTAAGGAAGCATGACAATATCCTTCTCATAAATTATAAAAAAATGTCTTGGAAGATTTTCATTTCTTTTGATTAGAATTGTATTCAGGTACTAGTTTCCATTGCTAAATTTGAACCAGGCTTAAAACATATTATTATACTGTAACTTGATTTTTTTTGTTGTCCAGGCCCGACCTTTGCTTAGTCGAGCACTTCAAAAGGAGGAATTTGATCTGTTGGCAGATCCGTGCCTTGAAAAGAACTATGTTGGCACGGAGATGTTCCGAATGATTGAGGCTGCTGCATCTTGCGTGCGTCACTCATCTGCAAAGAGACCAGCAATGGGACAGGTACCTTTTGTTCTGTTTCATTGAAAACCTATGCAAAAGACACCTTCAAGACTCTTCTTGTGAAGGGCAGTTACAGCATTCTGAATTCTGATCATGATTATGCTTCGTAGATTATGAGAGCTTTCGATGGTATGGCTATACACGATCTGTCAAACGGGATGAAAGTTGGTGAAAGTGCAATACATAGTGCTGCACTACAATCTGCAGAAATAAGTTGGTTTAGGAAAATGGCATTCGGTAAGCAAGATTTTAGTTCGGATTTTTTCAGCGTAACTAATCAGAATAGTAGAGAGTCAAATGAACATCCTTAGATGATTTTATAGAACAAAAGGGCTTATTGAAGCTATGTATGCATCTGTTGATACATCAAAGGTACCTTATTAGCTTAGAGATGCCTTAGTTTAGCTTTCATATGTATAGTAAGTTCCCTTTTGGCTTGGAGTAATTTTCACTGTAACTAGTCTACTTCCTTTTGAATGATAAAAAGTCAAGAAAGATTGAGAAATAGCCTATTTGATTACATTCGTTCTTAATAGCCACGAATCTTAGGGTGATTCCTTTTGTCGATGGATGCTCTTGTTACACTCGTAATCTTTGAAGGACGAGAATCAATCATTACTCGTTCAATATGTCAATGATCTTTTTGATGATATGTGTTTCGGGTATTTTTTACAAAATTCTTAGAGGGTGATATTATCAATGTTTTTTGTCTTCCTAATTTATCTCGAGAGGTTTGTAAACACACGCCATGACATTTTTAGGCATTTAGGGGCCAAATACACTAAAACAGAGAGAGGAGCGACTGAGATGGAGAAAAAGGCGAATGTCAAAGGTATATGTGAATCCACTTGGATACCGTGTATCTGAAATAAATTACAACTAATCTTGACCTCATATATTTTGGATACATGTATCTAAATATATCTAAACACAACAAAATCTGATAAAAATTTATAATATTACAAAATAAAGTATATTTAAATAATTAACTTATAAACAACTGAGATTTTTATGCAAAGTTTCTCTTAAATCTTTTACTCAAATTTGAAGTTCTCAACTTTTTTTAGTAATAATAAATTTATCACAAGTCTTATTTAACAAAAAATTATACTATATCTTTTAATTTATTTATTTTTTAAATTAGTTTCGAAACATTAAAAAATATTTTTTTTCCAATTATATATATTACATTAAAAAAATAAATATAAAAGAAAAAAAAATAAACTTTACATCTTAAAAACAAAATAAAAATAACACTAATGTGTATTTAACTTTAATTAAGCTACTAATTAATTTAAGCCTTTTCTTACCTATGGTGTTAATATAACAATGGAAAACAATACAATCTATTTGAAACTTTATAATTAATTAAAATAATACGTTACGAAACAATACGTAACAGCAAATAACTAACCTCTAACAATACTTTGTTTCATTATCCTCTGTTTCTCCTTCTCTCTTTTCCTCCATATTTTTCTTCTTCCCCTGTTTCTCTACAACAATGATGACAACTCTCAAATCTGATCAACTCAAACAGCTAAAAGACATATTCATGCGTTTCGATCTCAACGGCGACGGCAGCTTAACTCAGCTAGAACTCGCCGCACTCCTCCGTTCCCTCGGCCTGAAACCCGGTTGCGGCGATCAACTCCATGTTTTACTCTCTAAAATCGATCATAACGGCAATGGATCTGTTGAATTTGATGAGCTTGTAGATGCGATTATGCCTGATATGAATGAAGATATATTAATCAATCAAGATCAGCTAATGGAGCTTTTTCAATCGTTCGATCGCGACGGTAATGGCTACATTACCGCCGCTGAACTCGCCGGACAAATGTCGAAAATGGGTCATCCGTTAACGTATAGAGAATTGTCAAATTTGATGCAAGAAGCTGATACGAATGGAGATGGGGTTATAAGTTTTAATGAATTTGCTAATATTCTTGGAAAATCTGCTACCGATTTTCTCGGATTAAATACCGTCTCCGAATCGGTTGCTTGATTAAATGATATTTCTTCGTTTTGTTCCAATTTATGTGACACATTGGACGTTTTGTTTGTATTATATTTATGTTTACTCGTTTTTTTTAGTTTTTCGTGTTTGTTAAAAGTTAGGAGATTTTATGATCTCTTTCGCGGACCTTGCATGAATGCAGGATGCTACGTGCATCAGGCTGCCCCCTCGGTGTATTTGATTTAAAGAGGAGAAGGACAATTAACGAAGTTGTAATGTATTTTTAACTCGTATGGGCATGTTGCCTTTTACGTAATTTACGCTATTCTCTTTGTTTCAATTTATCTGACATTTATTTGCAAACTATGGTTTTACCTTGTTACATGATTGTTTTGTTTGTTCTGCTATTATACTATTGTTATTTTTCTTTTTTACGGAGGATCTATCGGAAACAATCTCTAAAGGTTGGGGTTAGTCGGGATACATCATACCCTCCCCCGACTCTACGTGTGGGATTGCACTTGTTGTTGATTGCAATTTAGAGAAATTTCTGTACATTTCAAATACAAAATGATCATTCTGTAGTGTTTGCTAGAAAATTTACATAAGATGATTGGTATCTCTTTACCTATTCTATCTACTGTGCTTCTTGTATTTAACAAAGAAGATGTCATAATTCTACAAGATATAAAAGAATTACTATACACATGTTGCCTTCTCTGGGAAAATTTACAAACCTCCGGGGGCAAGTTTTTTCGTCTGTTTAAGACATGTAATGGCGGAATGTTGCTTCTGTTGCATCTCTTAGCTGAGGGATTCCAGTTCGAAAACCTGTAGTTTTCTGTAGTTCTGAAGTCTGGTCCCTGCTGAGAGAGATCTAATCGAATATCATCCGTGAATACCATTCATGTCGTTTTAGACTAGAATTAGATCTTGCTATCAAACGAGCAGTGAAACCTACAGTTGTGAGTCTTATTGACCTCTGCCTCACGTCGTTGCAGAACTCAGGGTCATTCGAGTTTCCCTCATACCTTATCCATTGAATCATCCCATGGTACATTGGGAAGAAGCGGAACTGAATTGCTTCGTATGTAAAGTAAGGGGCTAGAGCTGAAACAACTACTAACAGTGTGACTAACCAGTATAACGCGGAGGGAACAAGAGCTTCCACGAAGACTTGGTATGCGTTGGTGGAAAGTGTCGTAGGAATGGCTCCGTATATTACAAGGAAGATGTACCAGAGAGCTATTCCACCCCAGATGAAGATGTGTTGGATCAAGGTGAAATAACTAACAGCTAGAGCCATCTGACAGTTTACAACCCAAACAACACATGTGTACATTGTTGCTCCCACGATACTGTAGTCACCAGTTTTACCATTTTTATCGAAGGCCTGAGGATCTAGCGTTGTTATGCAGATGAAGAAGATAATAGCTGCACTGCAGACACCATTCAACATCCAGCCAATTATACGACGCCAGCTGAAAAGGACGTTTTGTATACCTTCTTGATACAGTATAGGAAACTGCAATAATATCCATATGGTCAAGTACTTCCAATAATGATAGATAGATACATCTTGATCAACACTGTATGATGTATGACATACCTTAAGACAATATCGAGCGGATACATCTTGATCAAAGACTCCCAGAGCAATCACTGGTAATGATGTGAAGAACACATTGTAAAGCGACAGAAACCAATCGTTATATGCAAGTTGTGCAGAAAACGATGCATATGTCTCGTATAAGAAGAGAGTAAAGCCGAATGCAACGTTTTTGTAGAAAAAGTAGCATATCTGCAAGGAAACGAAAATCCAGTTTCAGGAATGCTCCTGAAAAACCAACTGTGAATCTGTTTGCGCAACAAATCTAAGGAAGAAATCCAGTAGCATATCGATTACCATTGAAGAGATCCTTCTGTAACACCAATGACCATGTACTAAAAGCAAACGTTCCAAGAATCGGAACTGAGCAATTGCAACATCACTTGACATAACAGCCTACCAAGTGCGAATCAGGGAAAAGAAAATTGAGAAAACGACAGATGCAAGAAGTAGAATTGTGTAGTGCTGCAAAAGACAAGAGAAATGTACGAAGCTCTCACCTGCATTCCTTCAACACCACTGATTCCAATTCCAATATCAGCTTCTTGAAGCATTCCTACATCATTAGCTCCATCTCCAATGGCTAAAGTTGTCTTTCCAGTCCCAAATTTGACAAGTCTTGTTACCTTATATTCCGAAAAAATGGTATGCTTTAGAACAAATCAAAAAGATGAGAAATCTAATAGCAACATTTTGGTTGTGAAGACAAGTTGTACTCACCAATGCCTTTTGTTTAGGTGATGAACGGCAACATATAACAGAGGCACATCCAATCGCAAGGTCTAAAAGCAATCTTTTTGTGTCATCTGCTAGAGCATATGTAAGTGATTTCCCATCAATGATCAAAGCAAATGCCTTTGCCTTTGAATCCGTTAGTAAAGCTTTCCCTTCTATAATTTGTCGTACAACACTTTCCTTTGACGTCTATGACAAAGAAGAAATAGCATAGACAACTCCATCAGTAACATTTCAATCAAGTAACTCCTAATAAGAAATGTGACGAAGAAAGAGTATGTATTTACCTTAGCAATAGCATCTTTGTCTCCTCCTTTCTCGGTTGCAATAATATCAGGTGTTTCCAAGTTTATGATAATTTGCTTCATTCCTTGTCTAAGCAAACTACAGGCATAGCTGAAGCAGACATTATGGACAAAATATGTTTAGACAAGCAGCAATTGAATCAACAAGTATAAAATTCATAACCAAATAATATACCCGATATTAATGGCTGTTTCCATCTTATCCCCGGTCAAAACCCATATCTTGATACCAGCTTGTGCAAGTTTGTCAATGCATTCAGGAACCTATCATTAAATAACAGAACAAATGTCATACAATACATCCAAATGATGCTTGGTGGTAAGAGACCAGTGACTTTATTAAACTCACTCCTTGTTGGAGTTTGTCTTCAACAGCAGTGGCGCCGAGTAGAATCAACTCCTTTTCAATCTTTTTAGTTGCTTCATCAATCAACGCATCACGGTCTGCACTGACTGAATTCTTGGCCTGTAAAAACTGCTCATTGAACACTTGGTATTCGTCCTTGGTGATTTCTCGATAAGCCAGTATCAAGGTCCTCAAGCCTGCATCAGCATACTCATTTACATGTTCCCTTGTTATCTCTTCAAATTCTCTTCCACTCTTCGCGAGCCTTTCAAACATCACACTGCATAAAGGCCATATAGAAGAAGGAAACATAAACAAAGTCAGCAATTAATTGAAGGAGTTTATGATGTTTGTTAAGTTGCAATTTTACTAACCTATCAGCACCTTTGCAGAGTAGCAATATCTTTCCCTCCTCATCTTTTACTATTACAGACATCCTCTTTCTTGCACTATTAAACTCCAACACATTCAAAACTGTATATAACCTGCAAACGAAGAAATCTATGATTACTCTTTTGATATATTTCTCGTTTTTCTTCTTATATAGTGTTTTTTGAGGTTTGCTTTGTTAGCTTCTGCATGAAACTTGATTATTTTGGTCTACTATGTAAGCACAAAATTTAGAAACATCACTGATACTAGGCTGTTTTCACTACGTAATCTTGAACATAAAATCTTTCCTGGCAATTAAAGTATTCGATTGTCAACAGGATGGAGAAGGAGGTTGAAAGACAGATTATTACTGGGATAAAAGGAAGCACCAAATGAACATAACAAAAGAGTCAGAGCTAATTTATCACTTGTTACTTGGCTAGGGATATAAATATAAAAGGATCTTGTTCCAAGAGTATGCTTTGTAATATTTGAAAAATACTTACTACGTTATATGCTTTATAAATTTCTGAAAATGCATATTGTAGAGACATGTTTGATGTTAACGAACCTCTCGACTTTCTTGCCAGATACCGGATCCAACTCATGCACTGACACACTTGTTTGTGTCCTTTTAACTAATTCAAAGCCAATTTCTTTAGCTGCAACTACAAAGGCTGCCTCGTCTGGAGATTCAGCTTCATATGATATCTTACTTGTTTCTTCATCTACTTCTGGTATGACTGTATGACAGACTGCGAGTAAACGGAAAAACTTCTGTATAACATCTAAATGAGGCTCATGCACCCAACTCCCATTCATGATTCGCTCGTCTTGAAAGTTGAAGCCTTTTATTGAGGACTTCTTTGGACTAACAGCAGAATCCTCAATCAATGGAGAACCATTTCTTTTAGCCATAGCCTTCTCGACATCAGTAATACCACGTCCATAAGCCGTTCCAGCTACTGAACACTTGACAAACTCCATTGAGTTACAAGTTAAGGTACCGGTTTTGTCTGAAAGTATTGTGTCAACCTGACCAAGTTCCTCATTTAAATTTGAGGTGCGGGCATGCGCTGGTCTGTCCGTTTCTTCGTGATACATATGAATGTCCTGATTAATGAACATACTCTGAAGAACTTTAACAATTTCTATTGACACATATAAGGATATCGGAATCAAGTAGCTATACAACATCACGGCTGTCAGAAAATGGTATACGGAAGCAGCAAAAGCTCTATTGGGATCATAATATATGTTCGATTCATCAGGCCGTAGATACCACCTCTTGTGTCCATCGTATAAGTCCTCTTTAGTCAGAAATCCAAAGCAGACTGATCCAACAAAGGACATAGTGACCAAAAGAACAAATAAGAAGTAAATGATCTTATCCATTCTCCTCTCAACATTGCTTCTTTTCGAAGGTGGATCAGTAGCATTCTGCATGACCTTTGTATCGTGACCAGTAAAGATAACAGCCCCATATATGTAATCTGTGTTCCGCAATTTAGAGTCCCTGAGAAGTAATTGCTGGGGAGAAAGATGATTCTGCTTTTCTCCATACTCCATAGTTCCAACAAAAGCATATAAATTAGCATTAGGATCTTCACATTTAACAAAAGCCTTAAAGTCTTTGAAGTGTGAATCTTCGTGCAACGATGAAGTCACCTCCAATGCCTGCTTAAGCTTCAAATTAGTCTCCCCATCAAGATTCATGGTTTCAACATAGCACACTGCATCTTCATAACTAGACGAAAGCAACAGTAAGTCTGCCGGGAAGAACTCATCCTTCTCCACCTTAACAATGTCACCAACTCTCAAGTTTTTCCATTCTGTTTGGTTAAAAACTCCATTTTCTTGATGTACTTTAACCTTCCTATTATTCATCTCAATATCCTAAAACACAGAAAATGAAAACACAAATGATAATCATATAAAACTAAAGGATTAACATGAAGTATTGTCTTCCACATTCAACAATCAATTGAGAAAGCATGAAACTTTTTTTTTGGGGGGTTTAGCCCGACTAATCCAAATTCGTGTTGGGAAGGCTTGTAAGAGGGCATATCCCTCGTTAACAAGCGATTCTCCGTTCCCGAGGAACTGCATACTTTAATTACTCAGAAGAAAAAGAGTGAGTACCTGTTGTTTTCTCTGCCAATCCTCAATACCTTCTTTCAACATGGTGACTCCAATAACAATAACAAGAGGAATAACAGCAGTGGCAGGAGAATAAGGAGTAAGTGGTGTGAAGGATAATATAGCAATTACAAGAAAGTAAAAATTAGCCACTCTTCTAAACTGTTCAAATAAGGACTTTGGCAAGAAAGTTGCAGAACTATACTTTGTAGTACTTACATAATTTCCAACATAATCTCTAATTACAGACTCAAAACTACTTGGTTCATTACAATAAACAACTCTTGAATATCCTGGACCTCCAATTTGGGAATGATCAACATCACCTAAAAATGAATCTCTCCCACATTTAAATGTGTAAATCTTGCTAAAATGCAATTTCCTCCTCCTTCCTGTCTTCATTTTTTTTTTTGCAAACTCCTCAAGCCCAAACCCAAAATAAAGTATCAAGAATAAAGCCAAAAAAAACAAAAAAGAATTATCCTTTCCAACAAGGCAAATTGGAGTTTTTCAAGAAGAACCTTTTTCAATTGCCCATAAACAAAAAAACTCCTTGAAAATCAAAACTTTCTCACAAACACCAATAAATAAATGTATAATATATCCAAATAACAGAACCCCAGATTTAAAAAAACCCCAAAAAAAGCTTGAAACCACAGAAAAAGAACAGAATACCAGACCACTAGAGCTTACACAAACAAGAAGAAAATGAAGTAAAAGAAAAGTTCACCCTTTTAAACAGCTTAAAGGGTGTCCACATAGGCCTCAAAGTATCAAGAAAACTATCATACACTCAAAAAGCTTCAATCTTTATGCAAATTTCAATGACCTCAAACACACAAACAAACATTTCTTCAA